GTTTTGTTTTAGCAAATTTTGGTGCAAGTGATCGTCGGGAAGAGTTAGTGAATTGGATCCCAAGATTTGTTCTTTAATATCATATTATAAGCTGAAAAATAGCAACATGAATTAAAAAATAATAATAACAATCTGAACATTTAATATATGAAAATTTAAAGCTTGTATATTAGTAAACTTAGCCTTTAAGGCTTAAAAAAAATTTTTAAATTAATAAAATTAAAAAAAAATTTTTTTGCTCAAATTTTTTGCATTTCTATTTTGATTTAACTAATATAACCCATCTGAGACTTGAATAATCATACTAACACTAATTTCATGATAATGATGACAATAGCAAACTTGAAACTTCTAAGGCCATAACTAGCTTTTCCTTCAATTAATTTATCAAGGAGTAGTTCTTCAGATGCAACCAAAAGTATTACTGCACTTTGACAATATTTAAATGCCACAAGTTCATTCTTTGCAACTGCGATATTATCAATTTTATTAGATTATAGTTTTTGAGTTCTTTGTTTGATAAATTTATATTATACCACTTAGTTCAAATATCTGAAAAGTTAGAAGCAAATATTAGCTTAATTGCTTTAAATAAAAAAAAAAAATATCAGTTCTAAATATATATAACTTTCTAGTATGTTCAGCCTTGTTTTTCCACATCTTTTAACCAATCTTGACTACAGATTAGCATCTCAATAGTTTTAGGATTAAGGTTTGACTAATAATCATTAACAATTCTTCCTGCCACACTAAAAACCTAAATAAAATAATATATGTTAACTTTAATTAATCAATATTTAACAGGAATTTACTTATTAATTCGGAAGCTATGGAAGTTACTAAGATGGCAAGGATATTCCTTGCTATAGTTGCCACAGAAAGATACCTTTGTTCATTTTCTTTCCACCAGGCTAAAATGTCAAATGATTCTAAAGAAAAACAGAGGAGAAGTGGGTCAGCTAGATATCATTCAAACTCATCAGTTTCATTAATTACACTAATTCGATTTGCTGCAAAATATTGGTCAAAGCCTTGCATTAATTCATCATCTTGTGAATTAAAATTAGAATAACCATAATAATGATTAGGAGCATCCATATCTTGAATATATGTTGATTTATAAATTATCATAGCTCTGTATAAATAAATAGTTACTAAATTAGTAAATAGAATTTATATTTAAAGATATTATACTGAGCTAACTACCTTCTTTTAATAAAATTTAGCTTGTTCTCGGCCTTAGTAGATGACAAGTGCATCTTATACTTAAAAACATGGATAAGTAGTGATATTTTATAACCAAGATCTATTATCGATGCAATGCAGTACGCATCAATAGTATCTGCCCAATATTTATCAAACTTAGATTCTATTGGTATGATCATTTGACAAATAAAAAGATCTAAATTAGTAGTATTTTACTCAAGATATAATTTAATTTTTACAAGATGGAGAAAAAAAATATTTGCTGTTGAATATTTGCTTCCTGATATAATATTCATAACTATATTCAAATAACTAGTTAGCATATAGGTTCAACAAAATTTATTATCGTATTTGTACGAAATAATGCCCACGGGTGTTATTTTGCACAAATGCAATAAAAATTTACTATCACCTCATAAAATGGTTTTAAAAAATCACAAATGCTCTTAGCACTTTTTTATTCTTCTTCAGAAGGTATAATTTGCTTGAAGTTAATATCTTGCAATACAAGATGCTCAAACACTTTTTTATATAGAATAGTAGATATTAGCATCAGGTAAACTGAATTCCAATGAGTAGGAACATTAAGAGCTGGTTTCTAACTTGTTACAAGCTCGGGGCAGCACCCAATAATTGCATCCTCAAAATTTTGTAGCCGGGATTGCAAACTGTAGATCCACTTTGCACATTCTCTAATTTTGCTAACAATATTTTTAACCATTTTGAGACCATCATTGACAATAAGGTTTAATATGTAAGTGTAGCAATGTTAGTGTAGCAAACTTCCTTCAGCAACAAGCGTGTTCTGTTCATCAAGTTTATACTTTAAATTAGTAATTGTGGTATTATTGCTGGTTGCATTATCCATAGTTATCGCTAAAATTCTTGACACAACATTCCAATCATTAAAACACTTTAAAAGAGTTTTGCTAATAACTATACCCGTATGTGGTGTGGGAACTAATTTGAATGATAAAACTAATTTTTGAAGCCTCCAACTTTTATCTATAAAATGACATGTAACCAGTGTTATAAATTCAAAAAATTTTTATTGGTGCAAATGCAAAAAAAATATGCACAAAGAAAAAATTTATATGCGCATTATATATACGGAGAGCACTAATATATACGCAAATTTAAATCTATATGTGCTGCGTCTACTGCGCCAATCCAATTTACATCACTGCATATAATGACCATGTACCTGAGAGTTGGTTTGATATTCACAAGTCAGTCGTATAACTTAGGCATCTAGATGCCTCTTCTATCATTGTGCAGGCCTTCACTTTAAGTTTTTTAACAACATCCATACAATCATCATGTACTGTTTTTTCACTTACTACATTATACTTGGGTTGTAAATTATTAACGAACTTTAAAAATCCTTCATGTTCTACTATACAAAACGAATAAACATGTCTAATAATCATTTTAGTCATATCTTGATAACTTCTTTCATTAGAAAACTTATAGATAGTAAGACCTGATGCAGATAACTGCAATATTTGTTGTGATTCATTATTTAAATATTTTTTTTACATTTGGTGTTTTTTAAATGGTGAATTAGAAAGCTGGTACCTATATCATTATCATGCTTCAAAACATTATTATAGTGTGTATATTTTGCATAATTTGCTAACAAATTATATGATATATAAATTAACTAGTTTACAAAGTTAACAAATTATATTATAAAACAAGGATTATTACGCTTTTCAGGATTATTATATATGAAATGGCCTTCTTTAAAGACCCAAGATTCTGACTTGCTTCTTTTACGTTTTCTATCAGTGGTTGTTGTTTTAGGATTTTTATTAACAATAGCTATTTCGGGGCTCTCAGTAACAGCAGTTTTTTTAGTACTTTTACTGGCAGTGGTTGTTTCAAACTCTTCATTATTTGTAGTTACTTCAGGGCTTTCTATCAATAAATAATAATGGATTATTAATCAATTCAGAATATGTAAAATGTAGTTCTCCAGTATATCAATTTTTTACACACTGTAATTCATTTTATATCAAGTTATAGTTATTCTTTAGTACTTTCGAACAACTTAACCTGAAAAAGAAGCCCATTGTTAAATATTACTTCTTGATTTACATACTTTTAAAATATAGAAAGTACTATACAAAAAACTCTGGAGCCATATACAATTATTTTTAAATGCATCTTTTCTAATATGCTTTTATCTAGTCCAAAAAGTTGTATTTTTTTTTTATTTAACTTACCTTCTCATATAAATACACGTACATACGTACATACATTTTGCTTTATTTTAGCACGCACCAAACTTACTATGTAGCTTGGCCTTTTTTTTAATAGCGCATCATGAAGACTTTATCTCTATGCATTATCTTTATACATAAATTTGACCAATCAGATTTATAAGTTAGCTCAAAAAAAAAAATTACTGTAATACAAAAATATATACTTTGGTGTGAGTTATGAATTAACATGAATCTAGCTGCTATGATTGATGATCAAATGATTTAAATTTCAGAGAAAAGTGTGATCATATAACAGCAATTATTATATTATACCTATATATATATTTCTTATATTATTAAAAGTTTTTACTATGGGTATGATAATATAGCTACCTCTATGTCATAGTTTGCAGCTATAGGTGTAACATTCATACGATACCTCTATACATTTATTTGATTTTCTAATGTTTGCAATAGTTTTTACTAAATATTACTAGGCCTATTGGGCCCAACTAGGTATGCTTATAAAACCCAAACCCGATTTAGTTTTAGTAAACCCAATTCAAAACCCAGCCCACAAAATAATGAGCTTATAGCTATTATCATAATTCCTAAGACACCTGTAAAAATGTGCTGAGTAATTTTTCAGCCGATCTGGCTAAGTAATTGATTTCGGCATAATCCGTATAATAAAAATAATAAAAGCTATTTTATATCATAATGATTATTTTGCGATCATTATAACAATAATATCATCATTATTAAATTTTCGTTCAAATACTTGCCCAACATGCTTGGTATGCTTAGTTTGTACAAAAATTTATGGAAAAGACTACTCTTGTCAATCAATAAACCTTAACAAGAAATGTAAAAAAGGATTCAAATATAAATTAGGCTTTTATAGCAAACATATTACATGAACAGGTGCCACTATTAAAAAAGTTAAATATGATTCTGAATTTGTCGATTGGTTTAAAAATAAATCTTGGGTTAAGATTCCACGTAACTAAGACTTTATTAATATATGTCGAGAATGCGTGAAGAGTTATGATAAGCGAAATCAAAGTAAAAAATTTTTATATTTATATTATATATTATATTGAAAAATTAACTTAGTACTAATAATTAAAATTTATTTGAAAAGGGATCTGAAATCAAATGAATGTAATAAATGTATTGAAAGTACTGAAATGGTAGATTTAATGATTAAAGATCCTTTTATTAAAAGTACTGAAATGGTGGATTTAACGATTAAAGATCCTTTTATTGAAAGTACTAAACTAGTGAATTTAACAACTAAAGATCCTTTGGATTGTTTAGCTGTAGATAGTGTAGAATTACCTAATTTATCTGATTTACTTAAAGCTACAGAAGTTGGTAGCATGAAAGAACCTGAATCAGAAATTAGTAATTTGAAACCATCTAAATCAGAAATTATTAATGTAAAAAATTTTGAATCAGAAACCATTAATGTAAAAGTGCCTAATACAGGTAAGATACGTATAATTTTTAAATACAATATTTATTTAACATATTTTTAAATTAACTAATTGTTTAATATTTTAGTTTTTATTACATTGTTATGCTATGATCGGTTTGAAAAACCATATAAAAAACTGGACGGTGCATTAGCAATTTTATATAATCTTGACAAGATCAAAAACTTCAGAAATATTAAAGAAGAAATCTTATCTTGCACACTTCCTGAACAATGGGAAAAAATTAAATTGGATCGCATTTGTTATCAAATTTCAAACACATCTAAAGCAGATCATTATGATTTGAAAGCTGATAGTGCTATTGCTGCATTTATTGCTGAAATAAAATATAGAAAAAGTATTCAGTTATGTATTTATCAAGAAAGTAGTAAATTTAACAGAGCAAATAAAAGAATTCGTATATGTTATTTATATTTTATTTAATAAAGTCTGCAATTATTTTATTTATTTATTTATTTATTTATTTATTTATTATTAGATGCTTGAAACAGAATCAGATACAATTAATGAATTAAACATTATTAAAAAAAAATTTATAAAAATCTTCCATCTTGTACTATATATATTCAAGGGTGTTTAATCTCTGATGATGGTCGATACTTAAAATTGAATAGTGATATTATAACATTATGGGCTCGTGCAATTGTAATATTTTAATATATAATTTTTTTCAGTGTTAAGGTGACCTCTATGGCCAGGGGCTTTTTATTTTTTTTTATTTTTAAAAGGCGATCTTGCCTGTATGTCTTATTTATTATTAATAATGTATGATTACAAGTTTTATATATACAATATATATCAACGAAAGTACAACTAGTCACACGTATAACTTTAGTCATTATCTAATTAAGGGTTCCGCCCATAGGTTACCCACTAGATGCCATACCTGAGACCCGCCTGTGAGTCCCCTATTTAAACTTTCTAATTTTCAACACTTATTGCATATATCTGAAATACGGTACATTAATATTATTGAGACAGAACAGGTTAGGGCTATCTAATTACTATTTATATCTGAGTACTACCACATTGGATATTACTAAGTATCCATAGTCTTTTTGAATTTACCCTCGATGCAAACTTACTAAGTATGGTATCAAGATTACCCCTTAGATTTAGCCAATTTTAGTAGATCCTGTAACTACTAGAACCAGTTTGGTGCCAGAAGTGTTCAAATTTCAGTAATTCTATTCCTTTTATATTCACCATATCACCTGCTAGTGTGCCTTCTCTCTATTTCTGGTATGTTCACCGCTTCTCTCGCATTGAGCATCAACTCTCCATATCAGGAAACTTCTTTCTGAGAACTTTCTTATACACCGATCTTCTAATCACATGGACTTAGCCACAGGGCTTCGCGTACATTCATATGCTTTCATAGATTACAGAGTTGCCTCCAGCTGGAATTGAACTGTCAACCTTGTCTGTGGAGGGAGGGGCACCTAGACCACTAGGCTACAGGACCCCATCTCTAAATTAATATTTTGTTATTCTATAGCGTTGTTTAATTCCTCAAATTGTTCAAATTCTTCTTCAATTGGTAGTCGTTAATTGAATTTCTAGAGAGTTTATTTAATTGGCTTACTTACATTAATACCCTTTCAAATCCAGGATGTTAAAGTTGTAGATTGTAAAATGTATTGAATCTTGAAAGTGTTGCAATTTTATAGTCTTGATTACAGTATATAAATTTTAATGCTTGCTCAGTCATTATAATTTCTTCAAAATCTGCAATTTTTCTTTTTAATGCTGTGTTTTCTCTTTTGAGTTGGTCATTTTCTTCTTGTAACAGTTTAATCTCCTCATGACTTTCTTGAATTCGAATACTATTTTGTTGAATTCCTTGTTGGTTCAAAATTGTTGATATCAATGAGTGTTCTGCTAAGGATAATGCTAATTTTTGTACTATTGCTTCAATTTCTTTGAATTTATCTTGTAATTCTGATAGGTCTGGAATTGTATTTCAATATTCTTCTAATAAGGGGTCTTCAGAACTTTCAGAAGTATTATCTACTTCTTCATTCGTTTCTTCTAGTAAAAAGTATCTTTCTTCATGTACTAGTATATTAAAGGATCCATTTGCAACAGTTTCTTGTTTATAATAGCCTATTTCTTTTTCTAAATTGTACTATTTTTGAACATTTGGTGGTAAATTTAAATTTTGGCTTCTATATTCTTCTTCTTCATAATTGTATCCTGGTGAGTAAGTTAATAAGAATGGTAGTAAAATAAAGTTATCATTTCTCATATCCATTGGTTCTTCAGATACTTTATCAAATATTTGAATAGAGTTTTCAGATATTCCTTCTTTTGGTTTTTCAATAAATATTTGAGGTATTTTATTCCTTCACAATTTGATAGAGTCTTTTTGTTTTAATAGGTTTTTTGAAATTTCCTTATACTTGTTGCATTGTTGGACAATTTTTACATTGGGTAGTGGTATAGTTTCTTCTTCATGAATTTCATATACATGCCATCTTCCTTTATCATCTTTTCTCTTGATTTCTTTAAGTAAAGTTGGTTCAGATAAATTATATCTTTGGCTATATGTTACTACTTTTTTAATAAATTCTTCAGTTATTTTGCAATTATTGCATCGAACAGTAATGGCTTCTACACTATCATTTCTGAGTTAAATTCTCATTTTCAAGGTCTATACATTGCTTGGTTTTGCCATTCTTCATTTTTTGTATTATTTTCTGCAATTTTTTCAGGTATTAATGAATTTGAATGTCTTCAAAGCATTCTAAGCAAATTCCAAAAATTAAGTCTAGTATCTTTTTTAGCATTAAGCATTCTTGGCATAACATGCAGCCTTTTTTTCCTTATTCTTTGACTATTTGATTATTTGTTTGGGTGAGGTTAGTGGAATAAATTTTTGGTTTGTTTCCTCCTTCATTGAAGGTTCTGTTTAATAATTCATCATCATTAAGGTCTGCTTCTAATACTGAGAATGGTGGTTAAACTGGTCTCCAATTCTATTTGTGCACACGATTATAAGTTGTTCTTGTCTTTTAGAGTCTTCCCATTAGTCACATGATGTTTCTTTAAAGAATCAGAATATTCAAAATATCTTGAATTCATTCATTGTCTGATTTCTATAAATTCCTCTAGTCATATTTTCTAGTTCTCTTTGAACTCTTGGTATATCACAGTGTCTGTAGCTATAGTAAAGTTTATATGCTACTTTTTTCTCTTTGTCACAAAAGAAATTATATTCATAGACATATACCATATTCTTTTTCTAGTTTTCTTTAAAGCATACAGTACACTTCCTTTTATTTCCTTTTTCTAGTTCTGTTTCTTGATATTGATAGATCTTTGATCTAGAATCAGGAGGTGTTCAACATATTCTTGGTAACATACTATTTTATCTAAAAGGAATTTATTTTGGTAGTCATAAGGTTGACATAATTTCCGTTTGGCAAAAAGAATAAGTTTTTTGTGATGATCTGGTAGCATTCTTCATTACAGCAATAATAAATGTTTGGTCTAATTTTTCTAATAAAGTTAACATCATATCCACATTTGATGTTTTCATTATTTCTAATTAGTTGTTTTGGGATTCATCTTGCTTGCATGTTATAATATTCTTCATTTTGGTTAGCATCCGTATAGGATTCTTGTTTTTCATTATTTTCTGCATCTGAGTTTAAAATAAATCTTTCTCTATTGATTGAGATAGACATTTTGCAGTCTCTTGCTTGATGTTCTTGTTTATGATATTTCTAACTTTCATTCTTTGGGCAGTTCCTATTTGAGTGACCTGGTTCATTACAGATTCTGCAAATAAATTTTACTAATGATTCATTCTTGTGAAATTCTGGTTTTTTTGATATAAATTGTTTGAGAGATTTTACTCTTCTAAATCATTTTTGGGTAAAGTCAATTTTTTGTATAAGGAATTTTTTTTTACAATTATAATTTCCATTAGTTAGTGCTCTATATTCATTACATCTTTTAGTAACATTTTCTTTTCAGTTAACTTTCTTGGTAAAGTTTTTGTATCTTTGTTTAGTATTTTTGAGGTCATAGTGTCTCTTTTGTTTCTTTCTTTTGGAAAAACATTCTTCTTCATGAACTTGGATATTCTCAGTAATGTTCTTGTGTACCAGCACATTGGTTGCATAGTTCTTCTTCTACTTCAAAGTAAAATAAATCATTCTTTTCTTTTTCAAAGGTAATTGGTTTAGTAATATTAGTGATATTCATTCTTTTAAATTCTTGATTGGTGACTTTGATAGCTTCTTCAATTGTCTTGACCGTTTTGACAAATTTTCTAGCTTCTTCTTCTCTTGTTTGTTGAACTAGGGTCTTGTGTCTTTCTTCAATATAATCATCTTATTTTTTTGGGGTTGACTTCTTTTTGGCACTTTTTACAGTAGTTGCCATTTTTGTAACTTGCAGGGTAAAAGTATTCGTATTGAATATTGTTTTAGAATATATTTCAGGGTATAGTTGGGTTTATCCATATGTTTTGGATGACCTTCTTCATAGTTTAAAGATTTCTTTTATAGATATTTCTTATCTTGGATCTTCATTAAAGGTTTAATGAATTCATCTTGTCTTTATCATCTGAGTAATTTGTATTACTGATTGATTGTAGATTATCTATATAATTGGTATCACATAAACATTCTAGTAATGCATCCCAAATATTTATTTGTTTATTTTGGCATCTCCAGATAAACTCATTTAGGTGGTGTTGCAAGTTTTTCTTATCTCTACTTCTTGGTGGTATCGCATCTTTTAACACATGCCATGTTGCTTCAATACCATTGGTGTGCATGACTTTAATTTGTTCTGTTATGGGGTCAAAGTCTGTTTTGATCATTCCTTTGCTGTGATTGATAGCATGGTGTTGTATTCCAAGTTTCTCATAAATATTATGATAGCCTTTCTACATGTCTGAATAGATTACTGATTGTGGGTAAACATATTTTCAGATATAGTATATCAATATATCTTGTATCCTATCTTTAACTGTTATTGTAAATAACTTTTGTCAGATATTCTCTTTACTTCTCTGAATACCCATATTGTTGTTTCATCCTTTTGTTTGTAGAACTGTGACTCATCTATTTCTACAATAATATCGGGTTCTCTGATTTTTTTATGTGTTTTCTTTATTTGGTAGTACACACTTTGGTATAATATTTTTATTTATCGTGTTATCATTATTTCAGAGTGATTGGTAAAATTACATATTGTGCTGTGCCTTGCTTTGATTAGCTATAAATAGGCAATTTCTAATATCTCATTACAAGATAATTGAGTATTCATAAATATTGTCCTATTAAATAAAGATATCTGTTTTTGGCAGTCACGTTTGTTGCATTTAAACATTTTGGCATTTAGTTTATCTGTTGGCCACATGATAAACAGTTGATTTCTTTTGGTAAAATTAATTTTTGTCGTAAATACTGTATTTATTTTTCTTCATTGTTAAAGTTTTGTACAAATTATCTATAAGGCGGTGCTTTCATTATGAGTTTCTAGACTATTTATTTTCAAAAATTTCATAAGTTGTTGATTTGTAAAAATTTGGTTATATTCTCTAAGTTTTATTAATTTTTTTTATTTTGTACTTCTATTCGTAATGTTACAACTTGTTTTCTATTTTTGTCCAGTCCCATGTGTCATGATAAGTAATCTGCAATTTTGTTGTCTGTACCTTTAATCTATTCAACTTTCCAATTGAAATCTTGTAACTATATCAGCCATTTTTGTATTGTATCATTTCTGACTATTTTTCCAGATGTGTCAGATATTCCAATATTATTTGTTTGTACTATTACTGATTTATTTCTAATATAGAGTCTACAATTTAATAAGTAATAATATATTGCATATATTTCTTTCATAGTAGAACCCTATTTTTTTTGTGTTGAAGTTAAGGATTTAGATCCAAATTCTATAATTTTTTCTTCTGATTTGGTTGGTTCATATTCTGCACCTTTTTCTCTAGCTTGTTTAGTTTTGTAATATGCCAATTCAGAATTTACTTGTTTCAAAACTGTGCCTATTCTGTTGTCAGATGTATCAGTTTCTATTATTAATTGGTATTCTTTCTTTGGATATGTTAATGCTATTGCATTTTTGACTTTTCCTTTTAATATATCAAATGCTTTTTGATACTTCTTTGTCCATTCAAATTTAGCATTTTTCTTTAATAGATTATAAATTGATTCCGCAATTAATGCAAAGTTCTGAATATATCTTCTGAAATAATTCATAAATCCTGTAAATGATCATACTTTATGTATATCTGTTGGTACTTTAAGTTTTTCTCTTCTTTAATTTTTACTTGGTTAGTGTGTATCTTTCTGTATTCTACTAAGTGATTTAATATAAGTGTTTTTAATACCCAAAATTCACATTTATTGGGTTTCAAACTCATACCCACTTTTTTGATGCATTCAAATACTATTTTGAGATGTTGAAAGTGTTCTTCAGGTGAATTACTTCTAATTGTCATGTCAACTATATATACATATACAAAGGGTAAATCTCTAAAAATTTTATACATGTATCTCATCATATATGCAGATGCTGTTTTTAATCACATTGGGAGTACATTCCATTCAAATTTGCCCTTTCTGTAGAAGAATACAGTGGTAAGATGTTTGTCAGCTTCTCTTAGTTTAAATTGATGATAAGCTGCCGTAAAGTCTAGTATAGAGAATATTTTATGTCTTGCTAGTTTTTGTAGCAAAGTGTTAATATGTAGTATTTTGTATGGTTCATCTTCTAAATATTGGTTAAGTTTTGTAAAGTTTACTATAACTCTATAAGATCTGTCTTTCTTTTGTATAATAACTAATGGTGATACTCATACAGCTTTCGATGATCTAATAAATTTTTGTTTTCTTAGTTCTTCAAATAATTTATTAGCTTGTTCTATTTTGTCTTCTTAGTATTGTCTTGGCATTCTTGCTTTATCTCTAAAAGGTATTTCTTTTTTATTGCACTTTAACTTTAATGTTATTAGTTCAAAGAAGTCTTCATTAAATGTTGTTGCTTTTTCATATTTCCTTCTAAATATATTTATATATTCTTTGAATAATGGTAATATCTTATTTCTGTATTCTGGGGTAGTATTTTTTAATAATATTTCAAGTTGTTCTTTTTTAGTTTTCTTTTTTTCTTTGACCTGCATTTCCTATCGCTTATCCTTTTCTTTAGGTAACTTCTTAGCGTCATTAATTTCTATTATTTTGATAACTTTTCAAGATTATCAATATGATAATTTTCTGGTATTAATATAGGTTTTTCTGTATAGTTGATCATTCTTATTTGCGAAATTTGAATCTGTGCCTGGTTTTTTAATCATCATGCAGAGTTTGTGTAATATCTATGAATAATACCGGTATCACGTAATTTAAAAATTGCCTTTATATATCGATATATATCCTCGTAAAAATTAAGACGTTATACGGATTTTGCATATATATAAATCTATTACTTATATTGACAATGCCTTCGCACACCCTTACAGGTATGATTAGGGTTTTAAGATATACTGTAATTTAATATAACGATAAAATTTTTCTGAACCTATTGGTTTGATTTAGAAAGAATTAACTATATTAGGAATCCTGCACTTGATATATAAAAATTAAATAAATGATACTAGTGTTGTCAAATATTAGACCTTTTTTTAAAGCTAAGATAATCAGATATTATATAACCGCAAGTACGTATCTTGTTAAGAATGACAAAAAAAAGTATAGGGCAAAATTTAATCACTTGAATTTTAATTGATTCGAGTTACTTCATATATTATTTGTTGGATAGTATACACTAAAATTTATTAAAAAGCCTAAAACAATCAATTTATTCTTACATGTAAAAAAGATCACTTTGGTATATTTTAAATCAACGATTAACAATTACAATATGGTAATAAATATAAAACTTGCAAGATATGTAAGAGAAGCATTAAACTTTTTTTTTTAATAAAAAGGATACAATAGTTATCAGAATGAATATTTTTTACCTGCAATTTAGTCTGTGCATCACATTAAAAATTTTGCGACTTTACTAAAAAAAACATACCTATTATTAAATAAATAAACATAAATTATTTAGTTTTGCTATTTAAAAAAATTGCATTATAAAAAAATAATAAATAATATAAATAATATTAGTAAGATATTTATTATTCAAAATTTAAAATACCACAGTAATCCTACTATATTAAAAGTATCTACATCTACGATTTGCTTATTGTAATCAATATTCATAACAGGTAAACACAAAGGATCATTAACATTTTTAAGATAAGTACTTTAGTTAATAAAGCATTGTGTAAGTATTAGTAATTATGCTAATACCGCATATTATCAGAAGTTTAAACAATCCCAACTATGAGTACCTATTGTGAGCATTACGTACTAAAGTAGCGATAAGTACTGAAACCTTGGAATTTAATCTCCAATCTATATAGAACATTAATTACAGTATAATATTATTAGAAATTAAGATAAGCATCTGAAACCTTGAGTTAATAATCTCATAACCTACCATTAGTATCTATATTTTTCTTGCAAATCCAAGTTTATATGATGTATGAAACATTAATATGATATAAATAGATCTTGTGATAAATATCTGAAACCTTATATCATTGCACTCATAATTGAAATTTTGTTACTAATTACCATGTTTCTCTTGCAAATCAGTATATCCGGAAAAATTATGTCATCGGCAAATAAGTATCTGAAACCTTATTGATTTGTAGTTATAATAAACTTTTTTATCTAATAATAGTTTTTTTTTTATCGTGTTTAATATAAATACAAGATATAAGGACCCTTTGGGGTTTGCAAACTTTTTCTAATCATAGCATAATCCAAAGTAGTAGACGTGAACTTATCTAATTATTATAGAGTTAATATTATTAAATGATATTTCATATTCTGAATTCATAAATATAAAAACCTTGAATACCTTTGATCCTGTTATTAAAAATGCCTTGCCTCGTAACTACAAATATTTTATAGATTATTTTGAACCAATTCAACCTCATAGTTTTTTAGGTGTTTATGAAACTCCTTTTAAAATTACATGCTATATAAACATTGTTACAATTGAAGAGTCCCAAGTATGGTTTCAGAAATTTACAGATTTGCACAAAGTAACAATGCGAGAAACCAGTAGTCGTACTATTAAGGATGTACACTATATTTTGTGCAAACAGTTTCATTGTATTCATAGCCACATTGTCAAATTAAAGCAAGAGAAATATGACAATAGTGAAACTAATATAGAAAGAACATGAATGCATGATACTAATTGTCTAGCAACATCAAGTATTCAACTCCTTAAACGAACAGATCCTTATCCATGCGTTATCACTTTATATTTTTATCATAATTACCCTCTTGGATCTAGCCATGTCACAAGCTTCCATCCAATTTCAGACAAAACAAAAGATGAACTCTTTAAGCTCTTTGAAAATAGGCATAATCCTAGTAGCACATACCATACATATTGGGAACAACTACAGATAAAATGTGATAATAATGAAGAAATTCTAGCGATAGAGCTATAGCTCCCCGTAAAAATGATGTTTTTTATCTTTATAAAAAACATCGTGACCAATATTTAGATGCACAAAATGGAGAAGATATATTCGATTGGTTGGAAAAAGAAGTCACAGAATTTAACCATAATAATAAAGAGAATGCATAGATGCAAAAATATATTGCTCTTGAAAAAGATGATCCTAGGCAGCCCTTTATTCTTGTTATTATAATGAATCTCATAATGCATTGTCATACACTAAAGGAAGCCGGTGAGTTAGTTTATATAGATACAACTGCAGGATTAGATGTTCTTAATACTCTTTTACAATTCTTTCGACAAGCATACCTGCAGGTGGTTTGCCTCTTGGCATGATTATTGCTTCAGATGAATCAGCAAATACCTTCACAAAAGCTTTAGAAATATTAAAATATCTGATTCCATCAGCAGGATTTGGTGAACATGAAACTGCTCTTGGTCCACAGGTAATAATAACAACAATTGTAAAGCTGAAAAAACAGCATAGCATAATACTTGGAAAAATGCAACCTTACTGCTATGTGTTTTTCATTTCTTGCAAGCAATATGGCAATGGCTTTGGGATAGAAAGCATGGTATTTGTAACAATGACCGTGTGACTTTAATTGAATATATAAAAAAATGGTCTTTGCAAAAAGTAAAATAACTCTTAATGCCATATAATGATTTAACCACAAGTCAAATTTATTCAAAATATTCAAACTTTCAAAATCACCTTAAAGCTTCTTGGGATCATCATTATGAATGGGCTATTGCCTTCCTTCAACAACTACCAATCTGTAACAATAACACTAATAATTTTGCAGAACCAGAGTTAGAATTTTAAAAGATATCATTTTTAAACATATGCAAGCATATAACATTGTACAAATATATCAATTTATCCTAACTACAATGGATCTTTATTATATTCGTAGGCTATTGACGGTGGCGTATAATAATTTGGATAATTTCATTGCACTTCAATTTAAACTCTCTGGATGGAAGATTGGAGAAAAAAATGATATAGAAATTATAAATAAAAATTCAATAGTTTTTAGACACAAAAGCAGTAAAAATAAAGATATATGGTACCTTGTTGATATGAGACTTGGTACTTGCGAATGTAGTCCAATGGGAACCCCATGTAAACATCAAGCTTCTGTGGTAAAACATTTTAGCATATGTGGATTAAATTAAATACCCACTATGTTCGTTAGTAACCGGCGTCATTATGCCTATCTGGCTTTAGGTGAAAAACACAAGCCTCTCAGTTTTTATGCAGATTTTCATCAAGAATAGCTTGAGAAAGAAAGCAATAATAATATTAGTATAAGTAGCAGTATTGATGATAGCGGTAGTAGTGATAATTGTGATGACTTTTATAGTAACCGTGGTAATGACACTAGTGATAATATTAACGACAAAGGTAATGACTGTGATAATATTAACAATATTAATAATGCTAAGAATGAGATTAACACTATTAATGACAGTGAGAATAATATCAATGATAGTGAGGATAATATTGATAGCAATGATAATGTCACTGGTAATAACATTAATTATAATGTCAGTGATATTGGTATTAATGATGATAATAATGAAAATATCATAGATAAGATTCGTTGGTTCTATAATAACCTAGAGGGCCTTTTGAAACAAAATAACCATGCGTTAAATAGTGGCGTTCAGAAGTTTGTCGAAATATATAAACAGCATCGGTCTGCACAAAATACTTATGTTTTTTCAGCATTAGCTTCCTTTTTTCATACTTGTGATTAGAATGCAGGTTGAGTTAATGGCAAAATTAATCAACAGGGAGGAAAGAGAATACGAGTTCAAGTCACTGCCACTTCACGGCGTAGAGTTAGTTTAAGTCATGAGCTTAGAAAAGTTCATCAAGGAAGTCCAAGAAAAAACACTCAAACTAACGATACTGAAACAACCCAGAAGCTAAATCGTTCAATTATGCCAGCTCAGAAAAGACACCCAAAAAAACGCTCATATAACTTGAATTGGGCTTTAAAAGAAAACAGACCTAATGCTGTAAAGTAGATAAAGTTAGCTGCCTTGTAAGTATTTTAAAAACGTAAGATAAAACAAAATAAGGTAGTCCTTTTGTAATCATTTTATGAATATAAGAGAGATTAAGAATGTAAAAGGAAGTTAAAAACACTAAAGACGTAAGAGAAAATTAAGAAAACTATGATAAAAAAAATTAAGATGATAAGAAAAAACTAAGAATGTATGAAAACTATATAAGAAAAAATCACTTTAAATAAATCGCTTTGAATAAATAAATTGAATAAATCGGTTTGTATAAATAGATTGAATAAATCACTTTGAATAACTTGGAATTAAAATAATAAAGTTTGATATTTATGCTATTACATATATATACCAGTATTATTCGTAGATGTTATACAAACTCTGTATGATGATCAACAAACTGGGCACAGATTCAAATTTTGCTTATAATATGCCTTCTTATTTCATTTAATATATATGCTAAATCTTTATGTATTTGGTTTAGATTGTCTTTGTTCAACACTGTAGATTGGTACTGTGATAATTCAATATTAAATATTTCTTTTTCTAGATATAATGATTCATTACTATCATTTTGTAATATTGATGCATATACATAGAGATTATTTTTTGGTAGTGGTGGTGTTTTAGGTTTGTGTTCTACTAGTTTCATTTTTGGTGAATCATCTTCAATTTCTATACTAGTTCCTCTAGTATTATATACATGTACTTGTACCAGTTCTGGGTATTGACTTCACAAATATTCATCTTGTTGTTGATATAAGTTGTCTACATCACTTCATATATTTAATGCAGTTGGCTTGTTTTGCCTAGTATTCTGTGATATTTTCCTTTGTCTAAAGAATAGTATCTCTTGTTGATCTTTAGAGATATTTATAATTGCTTGATCTTTTACAACATTGTGTCGTAAATCCGGTTCTTGTCTTTTAGTTCTAAAAATATTTATTTTATTTGTTAATGGTATATAAGCAAATGCTTTATTTCAAACTGTATTTCACATACTTTGTTTTTGTTCTACTTGTTCTGTTTTGATATTTAATTGCTGCAATTGGGATATTTGTTTGTGTATTTGTTCTTGCTATTTATTCGTATTTTGTTCATCATTATTTAGATATATACTTGGTATACTACTTGTAGATACATGTGAACTTGATTGTATATACATTAGTTGTTTTTGTTTGTTTCTGCTGAATTTTCATGCATATTTTGGTAATGAATATCTTCTAATTCACTACTTTTGTCACTGTTAGCGTTAGTTCTAAATTCTGGTTTATTTATATCTATTCTTTAGTGAATTTCATCTATTCGCTCAGTGTGTAACATTTCAAATTTCATTATAGGTTCACCTGTTACAGTATCTCATATTGTTTGTTTCTTTAATATTTCTGGATTTTCTTGTCTAACTCATTCTGTTAAAAATTGTTGGTGTTTTTGTTTAGCTTTATTCCTATTTTGTTCATTACTTTTTAATTCAGATATAGTTAATAGTTTCTAAATAATAACTTGTTTGTCAAGGTTATCTTTCGAACTAAATTTATTTAGGTTCATTTCTAGAACTTTGTCTGTTTTTCCTTGGTATTTTGATTCTTTTTTACTAATTTCTTTTTTTAAATATTGTTGTGAAGAGTATTGTTGTTTATTCTAATATTTTAAGAAGTTATAAATTTTTTCTTTATTAGTCATTCCTGGTGATCTATTTCAGATATCTAATGGTAATGTTTCTATTTCTTTAATTATATTAGCATAGAGTTTTGCTTCTTGCTTAAACATTCTAGTAACTTGACTATGTTGTATTTCTAATTGTGTTAATTTGTCTATTAATTGTGCTAAATCACTTCTAAATGCTTCATTTTTGTTTTTAGTAATTTATTCTTTTAGGTCAGAATTCTTTCTTTTTAATGTTCTTATTATTGTTCCAAAACTTGGTGTTCCTGAAGTAGATAGTGGTTTTGGTGATTTTATCTTTTTATTAGAATTTTATTCATTACATTCGTAATATTATTTATTATTTGTGCTGTTTTCTGTATTCGTATGCCTTTCTGGGCTTTTATTTCTTCCTTATCAGGAGGGTTTTCTTGGTTTTATAATGTCATTTCAGCCATTTGTTTAGTTATGTATTCTATTGTCTGTTCTGGAGTATATGTTCCTCCTGATCCTCCTTGGGTATATATTTCTTGTAATGTAAATAAATATTTCATTCCAAGTGTTGGATCCCATTTTTGTAATTCTTCAAGTCTTTTTATTAATAATTTGTCTAATTCTCTGTCTGATTATAATACATCATTTGCAAAGTATCTCAGTACTTGTATTTCATTAATTTGTTTTTTCATATCCCATTCTGTTTTTCTGGGTGTTTCTACTACTATTGTTTTAGCATATTTAATTATTTTATCAAATATTTTTAAGTCTAGTTGTCTATACATTATGTGTGCATACACTTCTTGTCTACTTCCAAATATTGTTGGTTTTAAAATGCATCCATCCTGTAACTTTCTTTTCTTTATTACATTATTTAAGTGGAATAATTCTATTTCTTGGCCATATTTCACTAATATTTCTTCAAATTGTTCTATTGTTTTGCCTACCTCTGCAGCAAAATAATCTTGTGTATCAAAGCAGAATTTTATTCTATCTATTTTTTGATTTCTATTTTTTTTGTAAAGATATTGTTTATCTATTAAATTTCTGATTTCTTGTAATTCTTTTAGTATTGTTCTATAATGTCATACAGATGCTGAATTTTCTAATAATATTATGATGTCTGTTTGTTGTGTTCTTTTAAATATTTCTTCAAGATTTAGTTTTATTTCTTTCTTAAAGTCTCTAGTTTTATCTCTTCCAGTTCCTATATATAAAACATATTTCTTTGCTCCTATGTTATGAGCTCTCTGTTTTTCTTCAGCGATTCGCATAGTTTGCTATCATATTTCTTCTTGTCTATTTAATAAAGTGTCACTTATTGTTAATCCCATTGATGCATGTATAATTATTTCTAACTTTGATAGTGTATTTCTATTAATTATATTAGTATCATTTAAGATATCTATTTCTCCTCTTTGCAATATAAGATAACTTCCTATATATACAATGTAATTCTGAATATTAGGTATCAGTATATATTGTAGAAATGTTTGTACAATATTACAATTAGTTTAAACTACTGCTTCTACTATCTTGTATCAGTATTCATCACATGTCAATTCTATTAATTTCTTTCTTTGTTGATTTAGTTTCACATTGTTTATAGAACATAGTGTTACAGTAGGGAGTCCTTCTTGAACTCACTACTATAACAATGACACGGCTACAGGGATCTTTTACAGGTTTATAGCGGTGTCCAAGAGGGAAGTGTAATTCCTTGTTCTATTAAGAAACTACACCCTTCTCTAAGGC